TACGTAAATAACTCTAGCATGTTCCGCTGCGCTCATTCACCTGAGATAAATGTTGCACAGCGATTGCCAATTTTTTTCATTGTCTTTCTTTTGTTGCCAATTGGCAACAGCAGTCTCATTGCATTGCCAGTCTCACTTCAGCCATTCAGCTACCTATTTTTCGAATCTGCTTTAACTCAATGCCTCCCGTGCCTCAGCTCAGCTCCTTTTTTCCCCCACTTTAACTATGTACCTACTTCTTCATATCCTTTGGCCCTGTCACACTTAACAATTACTCATGCATGGCTTTTTGTCATGAAAAATGTATAAGTTTTTGAAGAAGTTGCCATTTAACGAATAGGTGTTCATTTTTCCTAAGCTTGTTTCCTTGCCTTCTTTGTAGCACAATTGCAAGCTGCAGCACTTGGGTGGTGTGCTACTTAAATACATAAGACATGTATGCATGTTGCTTTTGAATTTTTGATAGTCTTATTAAGTGCACGTACTTGCCTGCTTGACTGTATTTAGTTTATTAATATACTCAATTGGAGGTATTTGAAATTCAAAGCCTCTACAGCATGGAAATGGAAGAAACGTGGATACATATAATTTGGTAAAGTCAGCTATTTTTACAGTAGAGATCGATAGCCTTCCTCCCTCTTACGGTACGTATAAAAAATATAAAGTTGAAGCTGCAACTAAACGTTCTGAATGGTGGATGGAAATGGAATTGGTGGTAGCTGAAAACCCCCGAAAACTAATTTTCCAAGCTCTCTGGAAATATTTCCCATTGTGCTCAAAGCTTAGCGAAAGGATTGAAAGGATACAGAAAGACAGGTGGGGTGGGAATTCATTGCTCTTCTGCAAACTTACCAGACTCTTTTATGAGTCTTAGCAGTTTATCAATAGGTATATCCCAAGAATTTGCCATCTTGGACTGGAAAACTCTTTACTATCCTCATCCTTCCAAACAAAATAACATAATTGGCTGGCAATGATACCTATATTGGCCATAAGTCGCCCCAATGGATTGTTCCCCTTAGTCCTTCCTATGAAGCCACGTAGCCTTCTCCTTCTCTGTATGTGTGAGCTAATTTCGCTCCCACCCTGTCTAGCGTTTTCAGTAAAAACTTTGTTGTTTTGCAGCAACAGCTCTCATGAGCTTTATTCTTGAGATCCCTGTTATACTCTGCTGTTCCCGATAGGCATGGCTCTAAAATTGGCTCCGCTTCAATTGCACGCTCCAAAGAACGACAGTTTACCAATTCGTTGCCTTGAACACCATAGTGTCCCGGCATCCACATAAGTTCAAGCTAAGTTATCCTTCAGATGCCATCCATCTTCAGCTTCAATTCAATTTTCAGTTTGTGAGCCGTAGGTATAGACAGTTTTTACGCAGTGTCTCACAGCAGGTATCTGGATCTCTCAATTGTTCCTTACTTACGTCTTTTGAAGTTGGATATCGAACATCCCAAATTGACAATGAGACCCAGAATAATAAAAAAGTCATCCAAATTTTCGTAAGAATTATAAGTCTTTTGATAATAATAATAATGTGTGAGCAATTTTTTTTAAGTCATTGATAACTATTATTTTAAAACTTATGTATATAGCTAAAGTGTTTTCATAATAATTATCAGAGAGAAAAATATTCTTAAGTCTTCAAAGACTTTTATTTTGACTCAAAACACAAGTTACCTAAAACTACGGAGTAAGATCCAAAGAACAGCGTTTTTATGTATCTCGGATTCTTTAAGGACCACCCCAAACAAAGCGCTAGAAGTGCAAACCAATTTGCCTGCAGTAAATCTGGTAGGAGGTTTCCCGTGTTTACAGTGGTTCACAATGAACCTGCAAGGTCTAAGTGAGTTGGTCATTGGACCGATTGCCACCTAATCAACCTAACCCTAATCGGAAGGGTTAATTTTATGCTTTACTAATAGATAGCATTAGTCTTGATAATAATTTTAGCAGGAAAAGCCGAAAGAAAACATGTATTACCACTTAAGGTGCTTACCTATTTTCCTAACTAAGTATAACCCTACCGTATACGTACGCATAAATAATGCACAAATGTGGATGTATGAAGAAAGCAAAGGAAAATTAGCTTCACGAATTTTTTTTTTATTGTCAGATTTCTATGAAGCAGCTTAAGCAGCACTTTAAGGGCCAGATGCAAATTTACTTTACTCATCAATGCTGCTAGACAAAGTATTGCAGCTTATAGTATGTAGTTATGAGCAAGTTTTATTGTGTAAACTTCTTCCGAACTAAAAATGTACAACACAGTGTACTCATCAGTTTTGCAGACAGTCAACTAACTTTTCTTCAGCTTCTGTATGTACTTTTGTAATTGTTCTAAGTGCAGTCGATAGTTTGTCTACGCTGAGTTGAGGATTGTCCGCTGCTTGCGGCAGAAGCATGAAAGGAAAAGCAGAGCAGCTTCGTTCGAAACAACCTCTCACTTGTTAGCTTTCAAACCAGTAAAAGCAGTGCGTGTATGCCACCCCGTTTAACAGATGCAAACCTAACTGAGAACAATCTAGCTGCGACATTTTACATTGTAGTAAAGTTGTCACTGTTGATCGATTTATTTTCAAATCGCATTAAAGCTTAATGCCTTTTAACCACTTTGATAGCTTGCCAAGTAGGATAAAAACTTTTTATTACCCAACCACTCTTATGCGCAGTGCTTAAGTTAAGTGTGTTCGAACTTTACCATTAAGGCTTATGGCATTAAAATAAATATTTGAATCAATGCTGCTACGAATGATATGGCATTTGTTTTTTTTTATGCGGGCGTATTTAGTGTACAAATTTCCATATCGCAGGAAAAACTATATTACTTAACTCACCACTATTTGTAATGCGCTGTTCTATGTAGCAGTAGATGGTTTTATAGCCTATTTCCACCAAAGGCTTAACTGCAGTTAAGAGCTCAGAGATGTTCCAATAATTCCAACATGGCAAGGTTTTTTCTTAAGTTTTGCTTTTTTCCTTTCGTTTGCTTCTACTTAATAGGTGAAATTACCTTCGAGTTGATATCTCCGTTTTCCAATCGGCATAAACTGCAGTTAAGGCTTGGTGGAAATCAATGATTATAGAGTTGAAACAAAACGAAGCGCCTGCTTGGCGTATGAGCAACCTTCCCAGCTTTTTTTTATGCATACCTATTCATATCTACATACATGCGTGCATACATGCTTATGCTCATATGTAATTGTTAATTTGTCATTTGTTACGTAAATTACATACATATGTATTTCTCAAGAAATAATTAATTTAAACGGTTATCATTAGTTGAATTTATTAGGTCAATTGGCTTATAATAAATCATTCCCTACCCAGAAAGTCAGCTATTTCTGGCATTCATGTAGTAGGTTAAATTGTTCATCAACACTCAAACACTAGAGGATAAGTTGCGCAATTAGAACCGTTTAGCGCGACCACTTAGGTCAACCAGCCACTGTTTACCCACCCCACCCATAAGGCTTGCCAGCTTACCAGTTCTGAAGTCAATTGCCGCTGTGCTTCGCACTGCTGTTACCTCATACTTGTACAGCATGAATTAATTAAGCAACAACGTGTGAGCAACCGTTGCAACAAGTGTCTTAATGCAGCTATGTGTAAAGATACTTCATGCTTTGCAATTTCAAATGCGCTGCTTGAAGTATTTTGCAACGAGCACAGTAAAATACAGCCGGAGTGACGTAAATTTAGCGCACAGCTATGTATATGTATTAGGGTGGCCTTAAATATAGGAAGTAAATTTGTACATCAGATGTCCTAAGACTCGATGCTACTATAGTCGAAGATATCACATATAAATTTTGGTCCCGATTGGAGACGGTTAAGGCGTGTTGCACAGGGGCCAAACTTCAGATTACCCTATGAAAACGTCTGAACCGCCTGAAATCGTTACCAAAATTTGTATGTGATATCTTCGACCTTAGTAGTATCGATTTTTGGTATTAAATGAAAAAATATTTTTAATTTTTGGAGTCTCCATAGAGTCTTCGGGCCTTTGCCCCTGTGCGGCGAGCCTTAATGTGACATCTATGATCGTGGTAGTACCGATTGAGGGGGTGAGACTGAAAAAAAATCGTTCATTTGATTTTTTAATGGCCACCCTAATATGTATATGGG